CGTCCATGCCCAGGGCTCAGGGACAGCAGGACCCCACTCCCAGGTGCCCACACCTCTCAGTTATCTACTGCGGCTGCCACGCAACACCGGCAGGGCCTTCCACACAGACTTTTATCTTCTCAGAGGCTCCGAGGTGGGCAGTTGGACTCGGGGGCAGCTGCGGGGGAAGGCTTTCCGTCTGCTCTAGACTAGGCCCTCCGGGCCTCTGCTTCTGGGTCATGGCGTGGCATAGCATCTCCACCCCCCCACCCCGGCCTGCTTCTTTCCACCTCCTCTCTCAAAAGAGGAACTAAGAGGAACTGCCAACGCCCTCATGAACACAAGACAAGCCATCTCACAGCAGAGTACGTACAACTCGGAACGCCTGTGGCGTCGGCCAGTCCACAGCTCCAGCCAGCCACCAGGTAACACACGACTGCAAACAGAGGCCTGTGGCCCCCACCAGCTACTCTTCAGGAGAAAGTTGAGGCGGCCATTGCTGCATGCAGTCAGTCTGGAAACCCGCCGGGCACGCCTGCCCGTCCTACGGAGCCACGGAGTCAGCATGGGCTCGCTGGCTGCACTTTTGTTGGGGTAGAACTATGCAAATCAGGTGCACGGAACCCTAGTGAGGGACTGGTCAGTTTACCATCAAGCCTGGATTGAACGGCGCCAATCCTAGAGGCTGGATGGGGGTGGACACAGGGCATTACCATCAAGAGCCGGGATCAGAGCACATCTCTTGGACCTGCAATCCCTGTGCCGAGAACCTCCCAGGCCCAGGAGACAGGGAGCCGTGTCTGGACAAAGTACCAGGAGAAGGATGGGGGTGACAGGACTGCTATCAAGGTTGGGTGGTATAGGTGGACCTCCCAGCCCACTGCCTATGTCTGACCTGCAGAGAGGCTACAGGGCGCCCTCAGACAGGCGGCCTCCTGGCAGTGCAGGCGCCCTGGTGCATCGGTTAGCAGATGAGCAGCCCTGCAACTCCTGCCTGAGGTGGTCAGGGCTCAGGCCGTGCACAGAGCCCAGAAGGCTCTGTCCTGATGGGAGAACTGCATGCTGGGTAGTTCTGGCCCTGTGTGGTAAGCTGGGGGAGTGCATGAGGGTGTCATGCAGCTGCATCCTCGATGCCCACCATCATGGGTCAGGAAAGCCGACTCCGGTGAGGGAAGACCCTCACGGTTATGAGATATAAACAAATCTTCACCCACATTCTCATGACTGAATAATCCCCATAAAGGAACTGTCGTAAAGGAGCTTCCATAAAGGATGAATCATCCCAGCGTCTGGCTGTTCCCGGTGCCTGAGGATTGTCTGTAGATAAAGAGCAATCAGGCTCTACAGCCCCACCCACTGTAAAATGTAGCAACCCCTGCAGTGGGCTCAGGGGCTTCAAGGTCAACTAGCACTCGGTCAAGAGGGTGACTCACCTTGCTGCTGGTGTATCATGTTACCCGCTTATGATATTACCCACTATGTCATATGTAAGCTAGATAACACGCATGCCTTTTGAAAGACCTGTAAGCCCCATTACATACCAGGAGGTACCCCCTCAAAATCCCAGAATTATGCTAGGTGGGTGAGTTAGTTAATTGTGCCAACCTGGCCGATAATCACATGTGGAGCTAATTGAAAGGCGGAGGGATAAATGGGTGGTGAGCCTCACCTTTCTAGTTCTCGGGTCTCTTGCTTTCTGATGGTTGCACCGGGTGCAGCTGCCTTAGCAGTTCCCTGCTTCAGCTGGCAAGGCTGACTTCCTACAAGACATCCCCAAGGAGAAGCCGCATGGACCTACCCCGATGCAGCCCTGGGTGCTGGAGCAGCCATGTGGAGACCCCTGCTAGTGCTGAGATGCTTATTCGTTCACTGACTCAGCTTTCCTCCTGCAGTCCGCATCATTGCCTCTGTTTTGTGAGGTGGAGGACTTTGTGGAATGGTGTTGGGTTAATGGGTTAATGTTGGACTTGTGGGCTTGGGCAGCATTGGGTTGGGATGTTTTCGTGATGCACACTTTCTTTACATCAAACTTTTATCCATGAGTTGCTGTGGATTTGTTTCTCCAAAGTACCCAGACTAATACAGTGGGACAGCTTTTGTAGTACCCATTTTTCCCACTGAGTGAGCATCGAGCAACTTGATCTGAGTTAGAGCACTCAGTGACATCGCCTGGGAAGGTTCTCTCTGTTCACAGTGAATTTTTTCGTAAAAGCAGTTTCTCTCAAACCTCGATTTTTGTGATAGCCGATTTAAGAGAAGAGTGTCACTGTGAAATTTTGTTTCCTGCTCAGGAAAAATGCCACAGAAACCGTTGTGATGTTGCACACAGCTTACAAGGACAGCACTGTGGGAAAAGTTTCCAAAAAAGGTGTAATGTCGATTGATGACAAACCTTATTCTGGATGTCTGTCAATTTCCCAAACTGACGAAAATGTCCACTCATAGTGCATTTAGAGTTCGTTCCACCAGGTCAGACTGTTAACCAAGCTTTCTATTAGAGGTTCTGAGAAGATTGCACTAAAAAACCTGATTGTGGCAGACAGGGGGCTGGTTTTGCCACCACGTCAATGTACCTGATCACCCAGCCATCTCAGTGCACCAGTTTTGGGCAAACAACAGCACACCTCTCTTGTCCCACGCACCTTACTCACCTGACCGTGCTCCCGGTGACTTCTGCTCCCTCAAATGAAGAAGGGCGTGAAAGGACAGCAATTTGCGAAGAAGAGGTGAAGGAAAGCACCGAGGGAGGTGCTGCCAAGCCATCAAGCAGATGAGCTTGGAGCTGTCTCCAAGGGTGGAGTCGCAGACGGGACATGCATCAAGCGTGATGGCGATGAGGCTTCTCTCTGTGTCTGTCTTCAATATTTCCCACAATCGTAGTCAGTCCTGAGGCCCCTTCGAGTGTTGGGGACTCTGCACCCCGAGAGCCAGTTCAAGGGGTGAGTCCGGTCTGGGAGTTGTCTCGGACACACTTGTCTCGTTTCTTTCTCCCACAAGAGATCGCTCACACCTGGTCCTGCTTTGTTATGGCCACTGCCAAGCAGGTTCTGGTCACAGCTCGAGGCGGAGCTGACTACACATAAGGGAGGACAATTCCCCCGACAGGAGCCAAGAGCTGATATGGGCTGGAGAAGTTCCCAAGGAGCAGACGGAAAGTGCCTCCCGTGGCACTGGCAGCCCGATTTAGACTTCTCCCAGCCCCACAGAGGAGAGTCATGTCTGCTCACCACCCACTGGTGGAGGCTGCTCTAGCAGTGCTGGGGAAGCAATGGGGGGCTCAGGCTGCCGCTGGTTTGCTTCCAACAGCAAAGCTCACTCAAAGCCGGCACAGCTATTTCTCAAAAACCCTAAACTTCCCAGTGACCTAGAGGGACGCTGCAGAGCACGGTGAGGAACCGCATGTGCGGCACCTCTCTTGGGGTGCCGTGTCCACAACCAGCAGCCATAGGGCCCTGGGGGTGGGGGACACGGCCAGGAGGTGGGAGCAGAGCAGGCAGGGCGAGGGGCGAAGAACAGGTTACAGCTGGGGATCAAACGATCCAGGACTCAGCTTTTCTCCGGTCAGTCTCTCTAGACACGGTCTTGTGAGGGCCTGGCCTCCCAGTGGGCCTCGGCGAACGCTACAATGGACTTCGCTCCCTCCAGCTCTCCCAGTAAGCACTGGCCTCCTGCCTGAGCTCTGAAGGCAGGGAAGGCTTGGCACACGCCCTGTTCTACTGCGCGTGCCCCACTAATGCTTGCGGCTCTGTGCCCTTGCCGGTGCCACAGGCCTAGCAGATTCTAGGCAAGGGGCCTCAGGTCCTGAAAAAACACACTGCACCCCCTCTTCCTGTTGGTGGTGAGGTCTCCCTCTGCTTCCGAGGCTGGCTCCCTTTCAGACTAACGGACTGCAAAATCGAGCACCACCGTGGTCAAGTTCATACCTCTTATTCGCATTGTTACTAAGGTGTCCCATCCCCTTGGTGGGCCACACACAACTAATTTGCATAGTCCCACCAACCCTTTTTCGGGAGTCACAGCCCATGGACGGCAAGGGCCACATTAAATAACTCCCTGCCTAGTCGACCTGGGAGAGTCACAGCATTTCGCAGGTTTTGCTGATGGGAACAATAGAAGTTGTCTGAGAAATTCTGATGCTGCCCAATGAAGAGTGGCAGTCTCCCCATGGGTCCTGGCGGCTGGCTGCCACACCTGCCATGTGCTCAGCGGTTCTCCCTGCATGGCTCTTTCCATATTTTTTTGGGCACCTGGGTTGGATCTGCCCCCACGCCCTCCCATCTGGAGGTGCTGCATTCCAGGGAGGAGGGCTCTGAGCCGAGGACACGCAGGAGGTGGCTGGGTTCAGCCCTCAATGGGCTCTGACAGTGTGCTTGCAAATCCCTCGAGGCTGGAAGTCAGCACTGCTCACACAGGCCCCTCTGGCCCCACAGTGAAGGCGCCCACCTGTCCAGAGCCCAGAGCAGCAGCTGCGCCTGCCCGTCTCTCAGATCACCACCCAGGACCTGCCTGCAGGTGCATGAAACTGCCACCTAGAGACCCTCCCCCCACAGCAGCCACAGGCACTCACAAGTGCAGTATGGCCCCCGGCCAGGTGGCCACCCTCTCCCGGCCCATCTTGTCCAGACCTCTGGACTGTACACCACCCCTCCTCCCACAACTGAACAGACACACAGCGGACCACCACCAGCGCTGGGCCCCCTCCCCTCCATCCCCACTCCAGCAAGACTCACCCAAGCAAGGGGCACTTCCTCTACTTAGCATTGCAGCCTTGCCTCTGCCCAGCGCCCTACCCAGGACCACTGTCACCCAGGGCCTCAGAGCTGAGTGGCCACTCAAGGGTTGGGCCCAGAGCACTTCTGCCTCCCAGCCGAGCCAGTGGGGACTCAGCCTCCAGAGAGCGGGGTATGGCCTATCTTCTGGAGGTTCTGCCCCAGCTACTCTGCCTCTAGCCACAACTTATAGGGCATCACCAAGCAGACACTGTTTGTGGTTGGGTGTCACCTGCCTCTCCACCCGCTTGTAAGAAGGGGCAGGATCAGTTTGGTTCACCCCTACAGAGTGAGCACCCACAGGTGTTCAAAGAACAAAGACGGACCAAGAGCATGCCTCTCCCCCAGGGTTCTGGCCCCAGCATCGCACCGGTGAGGGCATGCCATAAATCTCCACACACTGTTGCCAGTAGCACCTTCCACACTGCAGACAAGACCACTCCCCCTCCCACCCTCGCCCCCCCATCTCCCAAGGAGAGGCTGCAGGGTTTGAACTGCCAATCTGGCTGGTGAGCAGCCCAGCCCACCATCAACCCCCCAGCACCACCTGTGTGGTCCAGCTCTCGAAGTACCTGAGGGGGTGCCGCCAGGAAGTCAGGGCCAGCGCGGGCTGTCCGAGGGGCCGGCATGGCGGGTGGGCGAATGGGCTTCAGTCCAGGGAGAGCCACCAGTACCTGCTGCTTCTCTGACCTCTCACTCAGAGCTACATGGGAAGACACGTTTGATCAGCAGCGGCGCCACGACCCAGGACTTAGACAGACATGTTCTTCATGGAAGAACCTCTGGGAAGGCCTGCCTCGCTACAGGAGAGCACGGTGGGCACCAGGGGTCACTTGAGGGGATAGAAAAGCAGCCATCAGGAATCAGGCGTTTTCTGAAGCGCTTGACGGCTTTTGTCCAACCCACGGCGTGCACCCCCAAACACTTCGCCTTGGCAGTCTCCCTGCCATATGCACAATATGGTTACACAGAGGCAACAGGTTTGGGCAAGTTTGGTACCCTCCGTGCAAGTCGGCGCTGCAGCCCCTCCAGCAGGCCAGGCGGCCACAGCGGTTTGGGAAGGGCATTACCCGGACTAGAGCTTCCCAAAGCCGGCTGACGCTGCCCCCTGGGGGCACGGCAAGGATCACTTTCACTCCGGTCTGGATGACGGACCACAGTAAAAAAGTTTCTCGTGGGAGGGTGGCATGGCGGGCTGAGTCTTTTCTGTTCTTTCTCCTCGGACGGGGGCGGGAAGGCGACTAGAGCGGGCACCCCAGCTGCTGCCCGGAGACTCTAGGCGCCTCGCACTCCAACCCCTCCCTGGGTTCCCGCACAGCAGGGCTGTTTCTTAAGGCACATGAAGTCCCATTTCCCGCCCCACTCCGCGCGCGGAGCGACTGGGGCGTGGATTTGCGGCTAGCAGCCCGCTGCTCGGCGAGCGGGGAGCAGAGCCGGGCACCCTGCGCCTGGGGGACCACTTGGCAGGCCCGGGTCCCAGGCTGCCCACCTGGCCAGCGGTCGCCGGCGTTCATGAAGGACAGCAGCGCGCACACGAACAGGAAGGCGAGGAGGAGGAGGACGACGCTCCGCTGCAGCCGCGACAGCTGCTTCCATCTCTAGCGGGGAGAAAGCGCTGCCGAGGGGACCGACGGGCTCGTGGGGGCCCGCCTGCCCCGCCATGCCCGCCAGCTGTGACTCGGCCGGGGCCTCCCGCCTGCCCTAGCCCGCGCGACCTCACCCTCCAGCACGAGCGCCGGCGCCAGCCCTTGCTGTTGTCGTAACTCTCGCCCAGGCTCAGCGTCACCGAGACGAAGTCGCGATGAGGCGGCGGCGGCGGCGGCAGTGGCGGCGGATACAAGGCGGCGGCGGCGGCGGCGGCGCGGGGTGCCCCGCCCACTAGCGGCGTCAGGAAGCCCGGCTCGGAGAGGAAGAGAGAGCCCCACTGCTCGGACACCCGCAGGCAGCCATTGCACCTCCGTCAACAGTCCTCCCATGGCGCCGCGCCCCGAGTGCGCCTGCGCAGTACGGTCACGTGCCACTGCGCTTGCGCGCGCGCCCGCTCTTCCGCCTCACCTTTCCGGAGTTACTCCTCACCGCGCCTGCGCAGACGAGAGCAAGAGAGTGCGCCTGCGCTCAGGGGGGTTTACGCCGGCGTAGGCCGCTTCTACCCACGGGGCGTGCACAGCTTGCGCCACACCGCCTCCACCTCGCGCATGCGCAGAGATCTCCAGAGCGCCGCCGTGACCATAGCAACAGGGCCGGCCCGGTTTCCGCTCGGGGCGTGTTCTGGGCCGGAGCTCCTCCCACGCGGGGGATCCTGGGCCTTGCCCACGAGTCTCCGGAGGCCATAAAGCCCAGAGGCGGCGGGATCGTGTCTGCAGCGCACTGAAGAATGACCCTCACCTGGGGAGAGCCTGGGCACAGCCGCTGGAACCATCTCGTCGGGAAGCCCCGGGGCTCGGCGTCTAGCTTCCCGGACGCGTGGATGGCGCGGGGCCGGGGCGCGTGAGAGTGGACCGATGTTCGCCCAGCAGGCCCGGAGTTCAGCAGCCACAGGCCTCCGGCCGGACCCTGAAGTCTCGTGAACTCCGGGCGGACAGGAAAGGGGGTGGGTGCGTAGAGAGCACGACCCACCACCTGTGAGCCACACATCCTCCTGTGACTGCCTTTCCCTGGGCACGCTCTCCCAAACTCTCACTGCCCTCGCATCCATTCTGACCCACAGCGACCCTATAGGCCAGGGTGGAACCGTCCCTGTGGGTTTCCAAGCCTGTAATCATCTGTAGGCGTGGACAGGCGCCTCTTGGGTCAGCTGAGCGGCTGGTGCTTTCCAGCTGTTGACCCCGCGGCTAGGAGCCCAATGTGTAACCACGACGCAACCAGCGCTCGTTTGGAGTCAGCACCAGCCCTGGACACAACCTCTGAGAGGCTCCTCACACCGGATTCTGGGAGCGTGGAATTGAGGTGACTCCACAGACCGTTTCTCCTACGTGTCCTTTTGAAGCCTTAGAGGACCAGCTTGGAGTCAGCTTTAGCCCCTGGGCAGGGCCTTTCGAAAAGTACAGGTGCACCCGCTACTGGCTTTGAGAAGCAGGGACTCCAGGCTCTGATGGGAAGCTTGATGCAGTGGGTTATACATTGGGCTGCTACCGACAATGCCCCCAGTTCAAATCTACCACCTGCACTGTGGGAGAAAGATGAGGCTGTCCACTCCTGTAAAGATTGGCAGCCTCGGAAGCCCACAGGAAGAGTTCTACCCTGTACAGGGCATTGTGAGTTGGCATGCCCATGGATCCTGCCTCCACGCTATCCTTGGGAAGGGACCTCACAGTGACTGCTAGCCCCGCTCTCTGGATTGTTTTCCCTGCACCCCTGAGCTGCTTGGTCCCCTCTGAAGCCAGGAAAGCCATTCCTGCAGGGCTAGCAATCCTGACACTAAGCCCATGCCTCTTCTCTCCAGCCCTATCACACACTGCACCTTCCCATCAGCATGGCTGTGGCATCCTGCCCCTGCCCAGTGGCTCATCTGAATCACCCTGGAATCCCCCCGCTTTGGCACCCCACCCCCACTTTCCCTTCTAGCACAGTGTTTTCCAATCACTGCTCTGGCATCCTGGCCCTGCCTTGTCCTCTGAAGGAACCCAAACTGGCTGCCCTGGAGTAAACTCTTAGAGACCCTCTAAGGCAGGGCAGAGCTGCCCCTGTGAGCTTCCAAGACTGGATGTTTTATGGGAGTAGAAAGCCTGGTCTTTGTCCCTTGGAGTGCCTGCTGGTTTTGAACTGCTGACCTTGGGGTTGGCAGCCCAACACATGACCACTATGCCACCAGGGCACCTGTCCTGAGGAGACAGGGACACCAAACTCAACAGAGGTCCCTGAGCCCACTGCTGGAGAGGCAGTCTGAGGGTTCGGGACCTAGCAGGTTTTCTATGCCCTGAGGCCCTGGGAGAGCTGGAAAGGAGTGGAGACCCCAGCCAGAGGCCTAGGAGGTCCAGAGCACCCTTGCTGCTTTGGAGCACACACATCGCCCCGGGGCCAGCCTGGTGCCATCCACGCCCTGCCCATGTGATCCTCCAGCCAAGCACTGCTCACCAGAGCATGCCCCAAGTACAGCACTCTTTATTAAGATGTTTTGTGCTTTTCTCTGTTTTAAAACCGACCAATACCAGGTCTGTGGCAGGGGTTAGGGATGGGGGGGGCGGGTGAGGGGGTTGGCTGTGAGCCACCGTTGTTGATGGGACAAGTGTGTCCCTTTCCATAGGCACGTGACAGCAATTGGGATGACCACCTGGCCGTTGGGTTGCTCGGTTGCGTGGCACCACCGTTGTGGAAGGGGCAGCCACGGGCTGGTTCCCGGGACCTGCCTGCACTGTCCCTGCGGCTTCAGGAGGCGCTTGAACAGAAGTCAAAGCCAGGTTGTTCCAAGAGTTCACCAGGAAGCTCACTGGCACAGAAAGTCCATGGGAAACTTCCTTCCTCCCCCAAAGCTGCTGACGCCCCAGGATGTGGTCAAGGGGGAATGCTGGCTCCAGTTGTGGTGAGCAGCAGCTTTGGGGGCAGGTGCCAGCAAGGCAGAGAGGGCATTAGGGCACAAGGGGAGACTCAGGGCCTCGGTGGACTCAGTCTTCCAGGCTTTGGGTCAGTAGTGGCAGCCAAGACTGACCTGGTGGTCTCACCTGGGTCCTTCCCCCACCTTGGAAGAGGAGGGACCCTGGGAAAGGTGCAGGGATGGGTCTGGGTGGGGGGCGGTGACTTAGCAGTCTATGCCACACTCCGTGGAGGTGAGGCCGCCCTCTGTCATGGGGCAGGGGCATAGCCAGGAGCAAGGCCACCGCCTACCGGCACTAGGGCGGAGAATAGCTTGAGCACCAAGTGTGGCCAGAAAGAAGGGCCCCGAGGGGGCTTCTGGCCTGGTCAGCCCCAACCTCTCAGCACCTTGGTGACTGGGCAGCCAAGGCACCCAGGAGACTGAGGAGGACGTGGTCTGCAGAGCCAGAGGAGGGGGCATGCTTCTCAAGCACAGCAACAGGGTATTGGGAGGGGCCCCGGGGCTCCTCTGTGGGGTCCCCCCTTGTGAGGTCCTGTTATCTGCAAGGGGGTTGGTCTCGTTCTGCTTGGTGGGCAGGAGCTGCCCAGTAAGCGCTTCAACCAAACATGGCCCCCTCACACAGGCACCTGAGGAAAGCCCCCCGCCCGGCTGGGAGCACATCAAGGACCCTCAGGGGAAGGAGTAGCTCTTCACCTTAGCCCTCCAGACCCCACAGGCAGCACCGTCTCTGGAGCAACAGGGGAGGGACAGCCCTGCTGGTCACCCCTAGGCCCTGCATGCTGTTGCCCCTCAGCCCAAATGCCAAGGTCTTGAGTCCTTGTCCCCACCCCAGGGCAGCAGGAGTACCCGAGAGCCATCCTCTGGCCATGGAACTGAGAGGGAGAAGCTACCCCTCCCAGGGAAAGCAAGATGTTCTTTGCTTAGTCCCTTGGAGCCTGCCTGGAGCCCCCTGCCAAGGGAAGCCATGTCCCCAACAGATGCCAGTCAGGAGTCCTGGGGCCTTAGCACCTGGGCCAGGGCCTCATCCAGGATGAGGGGAGCCTGGAATTCTCTGTCCCGCAGGTATTCCTCCAGGCCCTGTAAGCAAACAGCCACTGCTCAGCCACCACAGAGCCCCATCCCCTGAGGATGCGCCCAAAGCCACATGGAGTCAAGGGGGGCGAGCTGCATTCCCCAGCCAAGTGTCAGCCTGGACTGCCCGGAGGGCCAGCCCAACTCCCCAGCTATGTCTCCCCACCAGAGCCTTGGAAGGCTCCAAATACCCCTTGTTTGTTTGTTTGTTTCTTTTTTTTTTTAAATATGGAACACTTCACGAATTTGTGTGTCATCCTTACGCAGGGGCCATGCTAATCTTCTCTGTATCGTTCCAATTTTAGTATATGTGCTGCCGAAGCGCGCACCACCCCTTGTTTCTACTGGTAAATTGAGGCTGGGCTTGAGCTCACCACCCTCCACCCACTGTGACCCAGAAAAGCCCTGAGGGGTGGCAGCCCTCACCTCGCCTGAATAGGACACCAGGGGGGAGATCTCACAGCAGGCCGGAGGGTCTTCGCTTTCAGACAACCTGCAGGGAGGGTGTGTGTGTGTGTGCATGTCACTCATGTAGCACCTATGCCAACAAGTGATGGGCTCCTCCCTGCCCCCAGAACCCCACCCCCCAGCCCTGCCCAGGGCTGAGCACCTACCAGGAGGTCTATGGCCTCCCCTCCCTTTGGGACCTCCCACCCCTACCCAGGGCTGAGGGTCTGTGAGAAGGTCCACAGGTGCCCCCCCCATAAGAACACCCCCCCACCCCTGCCCTGGGCTGAGCATCCTTCACAGATCCTTGCCTGCTGCCCCCCCCAGGATCCCCCCAGCCTGGGGCAACAGATCTATGAACCTCCTCCCAGTCTCTGTCCACAGTCTCTAGCCAGCTAGCCTCCAACCCAAGGGACAGTCCCTGAGTCCAGCCAGAAAGCTCCCTCGGCCAGGGTCCCTGACAGGCCACTCGGCAACAGAAGAGACGCTCTCCCCTCTGCATGCCCAGCTGTCTGCTGACCCTCTGCAGGCCCTGTGCTGGGTCTCCAGCCCCACCTCCCCAGCAGGCTCCACACTCACTTGGGCGCTGCAGGGAGCAGGGCCGCATGGGTGTCCAGGAAGCGGGCACCAGCCCGCAGGGCCCAGAGGTAGTGCTGGGAGAGCAGGGCCCGCCGGGCAGTGGCTGGGTTGTCCCTGGCTGCGGAGTCCGAGTTCTTCAGTGGTGAGAACTCCTCCTCCCGCCCCACCTCAAAAGCAACGAAGTTCCTGGGGAGGACAGTGCCCGAGGGGTCAGTCTGTGAGAGGTCAGGGCAGCACCATACCATCCTCAGAGCAGCCCCAGGGCTGAGACCCTTCGGAAGCTGGCCAGGCCTTCACCGTGAAGTGATGTGCCCTCCCGCCATCTTTAGTCTGACACTCAGGTCCTGGGGACCCAGAAGGAGACATACCCTACCACTGGGTGAGGGGAGAGGAAGGAACTGGGGGGCCCCAAAGACCTCAGTTGCCCCTGATGCACCCAGAGAAGAGAGGCGGCTCCCAGCACTAACTTAGCGAACGGGAACACGTCGAACACGAACTTCTCCAACTTGATGCCGTTGGGCTTCAGTGGCTTTACCAGGTTGCCCGAGTCATCCACAAAGGGCACCTTCTTGATGGCCACGTGCTGCTGCAGCGAGGGCTCAAACTCCCTGGGGGAGGGCAGAGGGGCAGTGTGCCAGGCTGGCACGGTAGGCACAGCCGGGAGGGAAGTGAGCAGGCCAGGGAGGGCCTCACCTCCCCCTACCCCCCAGATCCCTGCAG